AACCAACCTTGTGGGAAACTTTCAAAAGTTTAGTAGAATTCACAGACCAAAGTATACGTCGATTCTTTTAGCCCGGTTTACACTCATTCGACACGGTGAGAGAAAATATTCTTTCGGCAAAGAGTGTGGCAGACTAGACCTTAAATGGTTCCTGCTTGCAATAATCCAAATTGATGCTGTGACAAAATATTCTTTCTGGAAAATGTGTGGCAGGCTAGGCCTTAAATGGTCCCTGCTTGCAATAAGTCAAATTGACTGACTTCGAAGTCGTCAGTTGCCTTGTAGGCAAGTCGGAATAAAAACTAGCCGCGTCAAGCTCGAATTCTATCAAGTTCAAATGAAAATGATTCGGACATCATTCAATTTGACACATACGCTAACATTGGATTGATAAAATTATTAAAATATAATATAAATATAATTAATTTAATTAATTTCTCTATATTATATATGTGTCTTTATTTTTAAATTTTTTTTGTCTTTAATTATAAATAAATAATAATAATTTTTTAAACATAAAAACATAATTTTTTAATAAATATATTGTAAAATATATACATTGAACCAAAAGATGTTTATGTTAATTCCCAAGCTCAAAAGCTCAGCTAGCAAGTTAAGGAATTCTAAACTTCAGCTCAATTCATTTTAGAATGCAGAGCTCAAAATCTGTATGGACTATGGAGCAAAATCCATATCCTGGCAGAGGAAGCAAAATCTTAATTAAGAGTGTCTTTGGTTTTGCACATACCTAGTGAAACTGTTGACCGCCTGCCCCTAGGGTTTAGTTGACCCCCTTCTATGGACATTGGGATTGCATGTGCCTTCTCGAATTGGAATTCCCAAACTCTAAAGAGAAAGTTTCGCAAAAACTGGAATCAAACAGCTATTTCTTAGGACAATTTTTCCTAGAATGTCTTAACGAAACACATTATGAGGGAATCTTTATTCTCCATTTGTGTGTGTGCGTGTGTGAAACTTAAATTTTCATTCCAAAAGAATTGATTAGCAAAGCAATGTTTAGTAAGAACTGTTACAGGAAAACAGATATCTCTACTCTTAGGACATGGGGTTTAATTAGTCCTGAATCTTTACTCTTTGGGACATGCAAATTCTAATTATGAGGATATCTCACTAGCATATGATTTGGATTAATTATGAAATAGTCAACTACTATAAAGTTTAAAGTTTGAAATTTAGTTACAGTGTTGCATGGCGTGCATGACACCTAGCATGGAAATTTTTGGTATGGTAATCTTTAGCTTGCTTGTTTTACATTATATTTGCTATAGGTTCGATTTATGTATGTGAACTATAAGGCAACTCATAATCAAACATGCCTTTTGTGGCTCATTGGTATTTTTCTAAGTGCCCCTCTGGTATTTGTGTTAGAATGTTGATACAAACACTACACAGTTCAATACATTTTACAACATATTTATAAAAAATTTATTAGTTTATAGTTTACAATTAAATGTAAAAAAATTTAAAACTATAAATTTTAATACTAGAACTAATGAATGTCGACAAATATATTAAATAAAAAATATACTAATCATTTTCTTTTGTGTTATAGTATGAGTTGTTTCTTGGGTTTGTTTTAATTTGTATTTACTCATTTGCATGACCCCATGATGAGGAATTGTATTTAACTTTTCCTTTATGCCAGAAAATGATTTATTTTTTATGGAGAACTATGAAATTCATTCATAAAAAGGAAAGATTATATAGATAATTTTTGTGCTCATGATCACGGTAGCGAAGAGAAGCCAAATTATGGTAGCCTTAGGGGAGAGTAAAATAGCATGTCAAGGAGCATTTCAAGATGGGCACACCAAAAGTCCAACAAGCATCAAACACTCCATCTCATTCATGTTAAAATCGTTACAAAGTTTTTTGTCAGCCATGTCAAGGTGCATTTGTTTCTTCCCAAGACCCAAGCTACCAATAACACCTGATCGTCCTCATATCTAGGCCCTATGGACCGTCTACTGCATGCAATTTCAAGTCCCACAACTCTAAAACTATAGACATTTGACTGCTTGCTTGCCTTGCCTCTGGTGTGACATTCAGGAGCATGTAGCCCATAGTCCTAGCCATTATAGTTGTTTGTGATCCCTTTTCATGATCAACTAACCTTACTAATCCAAAATCCCCAAGCTTAGCATTGAAAGCTGAATCTAACATAATGTTGCTTGTTTTAATTTCTCTATGTGACACACAAAAATCTCCTTCTTCATGTAGACACAACAAAGCTGATGCCAAACCCTACACAATTTTGTATCTAAGCTTCCACGGCAACAGCCTTCTTCCTTTAAAGAGATGAGAATCCAGATTGCCATTAAGCAAGTAAAAGTTTCTTTTCATGGCACCAACCTATAAGCTTCACTAAATTCTTGTGCCTCAATCGGCTAATGATCTTCACTTATGATATGTACTCCTTGATCCCTAGCTTGTTATAGATAAGGATTATCAGAATGAAAAAATAGATAGTTCTGAGGCGTGATCTCACTCTCTTTAAGGATTCAAAAATCCTCAAGGATTCAAAAATCCTCAAGGATTCAAAAATCCTCCAGGATACAACAGAACTCAAACTCTCTCAAAAATTAGATGTAGAACTTTGACTTTGCATAGGAATTTATATTGATTGAAAAGCCACTACTTGTAGGGATGTATCCCTTCAGAAAGATACCATTTCATAGAGGTACCTTTAGACTTCCAAAAG